TGAAAAAAAAAGGGTTTTGAACCTCAGCTTTTACAGTTGCTCCAAGTAGCAAATGTTGTGCTTCCTAAGCACCAGGCGATTCCATGGTGTCTCCAATTCCTGATTAATGGTAACTTAACTATAGCTCAGTTTAAAATTAAAGAATTAAATAAGGCTTCATTGTCATTGTACATAAAATGCAATGATATTTCGATTGGCAGTACATTGTTAGCACCAATTTATACTGTTGAAATTGAACAAGTTATGACCATTGAGACTTGAACTCCAAAGCCAACTCCAGAAACAGTCTTTCTTGCATTTCACAACAAAAGCATACAAATTAGCTAATCTTTTGCATTTTTTAAATAAACAACTTAAAGCTATAAATACTGGCAACTCACTTGATAAAGTGAAAGATTGTAACTAACTTGATTTTCTTAACTGACTTAAATTATTGATCCAGGATTTAACCCTTAGCTTTCAAGGTGCAAGCAACAAAAATTTTGCTTTTCAGCTCAAAAAGGGAAGTTTGTTTTTTGTTTTTTTTTTACAGTGAACAGTTTGAACTTTGCTTGCAGAAAGTGCCCTAAAAGTTTAGGAGCACTTCAGCTACAAGATATAAAAGCAGCTGCTTTTGTGACTCTGTGAAACACTGATTATTTTTTACCACTGTATCATTAGTAGGTGGGAAACATTGAATGAATGAATGCAAGGAATTTATTTCAGACAATTAACAAATAATAAAAATAATATTAGATAAACCAATTTCAGAAATTATTGTACATGTACCACACAAAAAAGCATTTGGTTGCAGGTTGAACATTAAATAAAATATAATTTTCAGTTCCAAATAAATTTATTTCATTTGAACATTAACAGAAGCTAATAAAAATAAACAAAAATGTTCCACTTAATAAACCTGTCAGTATATGTAGCCTGAGATATGACATGGATTATTGATTTTTGATAATTTATTCATGTAAATTGTCTGAAAGGGGTATGAAGTAAAACTTATTTTACACACCCCACGTGTTCAAGGAAAGGTGGACATTCTGTCCTTAAAATTGAGTTCAAGAGATACCACATAAAAAAAAATAAAAAACAAAACACACACAACTGTAAAAATGAGACTTTGACAATAACTGGCTTGAGTTTTTCCCCGTGCGTAGATGACTGGTTGTGTCAGAGGCCCCTAACTGGGGTAGACCTTCCACCAACATGTAGTTTGGGAAGAAGAACAATTGGGTGATGCTTTGGGAATTTTGCCAAGCAAGCTGATGTCTCATCAACATAGGTATTGGCAAAGATACATTTTCCTTTTATGTAAACACTATTCCCTATATGCTGCGGTCATTAAAGATGGTTTCGGATCAGATGGAGAAGCATAACAAGAAGCTGACCTGGGATTTAGATCGTTCAAATCTTAAGTCAGTCGAGCAACTATAAGGATGTCCAGGACAAACAACTGGGCCCTACTGCACATTCTCCTGAACTTATTTTTGTGAAGGATCTTTGTGAATCTTTGAAAAGACACGCCCTATCCACTTTAAAAGAAAAAATGCACATGCACAACCCTATACCTGCTCCTGAGAGGGAACTCCTTACGTAAACATATCATCGGAATGATTGAGGACCACTTATTTTGATGATCCATCCGGAAAAAGAACATCCTCCGCTATACCTTTAAAGCAGGGATGTCAAAGTCAAATATAACCAGGGCCAAAAAAACAAATTTGATACAAGTCTTGGGCCGGCCTGGTTAAATGTTTATTAAAACATATTGAAATGAATTGAATTGAGAATTCATGGGCTGCTTCCTCCAAGGACATGGTCTACCTAGACTGGATCCTCCGAAGTCGGTGAAAATAAGGAGACTGGAAGAGTTTTGGCTGTGAATTCCAGCAGGTCTACCCTTCGTCTGGTTTTACCGCTGTAGGCTATGTTGCTTAGCAACCATGACAGTTGACACACAAAGCAGGAAAAAAATGAATACCAAAGTTTTCAAAACTGTTTGTTTATTTATTTATTTTTTATTGAGTGGAATAAAGGTGCCAACAACCGGGAGCATGAACAAATTAAATCAAATGTAATGATAGGAACCTTAGTCAGTTAAATAACATGCTGCTGTCATTTTGCACATCTCTGGTGTTGCTGCTATTTTTAAATATCCATTACTGTAAAAATGTTCAAAGCTGGATATTGATTATTTATTCACCAGGTGCACAGTTTTATATTGTTAAAACACTTTACAGTATTTTATTGTTTATATTTTCACTCTTCCCTTTTTATGTTATTCTACGTTTACTACATTTTTCTAAGATCCTCATTTGTGTGACCATTTTCAATAATCTTTCTGCTGCTGTAAATTTGCCCATTGTGGGACAATAAAGGGATTTTCTATTCTATAAAAAGGGTAGAAAGATATAAATCAATCTAAACAATGTATGTATAAAAAAATATATCTGCGAAATCTCTAATATCCAACAACAAAAAATACTTTGTTAAGTTTATTGTGCTAAACGGCAATAAAAAACTAAAAACCCTATCAGATTTATAGTCCTCACACTGCAGATATATTAGAATCTGTCCTTAAATTCCAGCCAAACCTATTTACACAGTAACAGATAAAAACATTTAGATAAACCAAACAATACTGCCACATATCTGACTCAATAACCATTAAAATAACCATTTTCATTCATTTCAGATGAAACTATTCACATACTTGGATTATATTAAACTGAACTCTCAATATTCACCACTGTCTGTGCCAAGTAACCTTTCCTCTAATCACGGAGCCGCCGGCTTGCTTGGTCTTGCAATGAATCCTGAGAAAACCAAGTTGTTTTTAATTTTGTTCATAATCTAAACCTGTTATGTTATCAATATGAAAAATTAGATCCCGCTGTGTACTTGTTATAGCACTGTGTTGGAAACAATGGTGCTTTAGATTTTGAAATAAAGATTTCTTCACAACAATTGCTCATATCCTCCTAATCTTTCATATTGGGCATGTGGGAATGTTCGTATCGATTGTGAAAATTGAAGTGTTTAGCTTTATTGAGATAATTGAAGTTAAAGATGCTATTATTGGAGGCCAAAAATTTCAGGAATTTTCCAAATAAGTTTGAACCACTGCTCCAATCCGGCCAATATTTTAGGGATTGAATATTTGTAGGACCCTCCATAGATCTACCAAGTTTGAAGTGTGTGGCTTTATTACTTTTAGAAATAATTGGAGTCAAAGATGCTATTAGAGGCTAAAATTTCCATTTTTTTCATGTATTACCCAACTTTAAATGACGATTACTCAATAACTGCAGGATGCCCGCTTGTGGAACGTTTTTTTTTAAGAAGATGAACCATTTTACTTCATAACAATAATAATAAAAAGTATTACCCAAGATGCTGGAACGGAACTCACTTTATAGCCACTTTCTGAGAGCTAGCCTATGGCCTAGAGGATACATCGGACCTGTCCTTCAAATCGGGCTAAGAGAAGGACGCATTTTAAGGTCGCAAAACGAAAAGGGTCTTGGAACCCGACCAGACCTCGGCGCCGCGCTATCACGTAATCGTCCTTCGAATCTGGCCTTCTGAAGACACAGCCCATGAATTCGAACAGGGCCCAGGTGTCAGCAGAGGCTGACTGAAGCCAGAATAAAAGGAGCTTGGATGGAGGGAGGAGCAGAGCTGATCCTGCAGGTAAGAGACAGACAGGCTGCTGAGCGACGGCCAGGTGGGATCCACATGCCAGGCACAGAATACCGGGAGGTGAACAGATGGCATAGTCTGGGCCAAGGTCCGCGCCTGGAAGTAGCGCTCCATCTCCATCAGAATATTGTGCAGATCCAACCAGCCCCTCGCTCAACAGCGTGTGCGTCTCTATCACCTGCAGGATCAGCTCTGCCCCTCCCTCCATCCAGGCTCCTTTTATTTTGGCTTCAATCAGCCTCTGCTGACACCTGCGCGCAGGAGTTGCTGAGCGCAGTTAGTGCACTCCGCCTTCTTAGACAACCGACTTCAGCCCAGCTTGGTTTGTTAAAGGAGGAAAAGCAAAAACCAAAACACTACAAACATGCATAGCCCAACATAAAAATTAAAATAAAAGAAAAACACAATCATGTTTCCCCCTGGGAATAGTACCTGCAACACAACTGCATCAACACTACATTCCCCACAATGCAATGGTAGCCTGCAAAGTCCCAGCAGCTCGCACAATGGGCTGTGGCCTGTGGGCCAGTTCTAATGGTAATCAAATATTATCCAGGGGGCTGTGGATAAACAATTGGCGGGCCGGAACCGGCCCGCTGGCCTTGAGTTTTACATATGTGTTTTAAAGGATTCAGTTCTAGATTTACCATTCACTGAGCACTGCAGACATGGAGCTATAGGGGTCAGAGGTTGCTTTATGGGACCAGGCATGTGGTGCAGAGTTAGAAAACAACACAGGGGGTAGCCCTTACTGCAGCATAGTATTGCGACTTGTTGGCCTTTTTTCTTTGTCCCTTCCATAATTGAATACTAACCTATAGTGCCACGAAATAATAACCGTTGTCAGGTTAACGAAATAAGGCTAAAAATATTGTTTTATCTTTTCTAGTGCATCTTTTTTAGCTTTTTATTTGGTGAAATCGCTAAATGTTTTTATGTCTATTGGATTTCATTGTTAGATGTTTATCATTCTTATCTTTCCTTTTGTTCCCCTGGAGGACAGAAGTAAAACAGATGGGACCCAATGGAACCAAGAAGTGTTTTTAGAGGGCTTTTGTGGTGGAGTGAAAACCTGACAAACTGACACACAATACCTTCCAACACACAACTGAACACAACGAGTAGCTCATCAATGGAATAAGAAAATCAAAGCTGCCAAATAAGGAACACTGCTTTGACTACACGATGGAGCAGTGTTAAAGAAGAAGTCTGTAAATGTCATTGTGATCCTTCACAGACTCACTGCACACATTCTTTCAACACTAATTGTGACAAAGTGCAAAAATGGTTGTAACTTAAAATCCTCTTATGCGCTTTAGGTAAATCTCTGACAAAACCCAGATTTCATAACTTGGAGTCAAAAGCCTCTTTGTTACCCACTTCATTTGTTCTCTGGTATATTCTGTGTGTGCCTCCAGCCAGCTTAATCCACCAAAAGGGTAGCAAGAAGGTAAGAACCTGCTCTGTTTCAGTTCTGTTCCTCCAAATATAACACACTTAGTTTACAAATTTGTAAATTTGTTCTTGTCTAAAATATAACCATCTCTTTGCGAAACCTTGCTTCGGACTCTGCAGGGAGGGGGGCCATTGACCACTTGAGGAAATGGAGACTTTAGTGTTTTTATTTTCGTTTTCTGCCCTTGGTGTTCTCTATGCTATGAACACCACCCCTGAGTTTCAAGAGTAAGTAATTATATTTCTTTTTTCTTTTCTTTCGTTTTAATACGCGGAATGTTACTCACAGATTTCTGCATATCCAATCATTTAATGCTTCATAAAGATGAAAGTTTGAAGGATCTCTATAAACCTTTGCATTTCTTATATTGTTAGCTGCTAAAAAATAGTAATATTCAAGAAATACCACTAAGTCTGATTTTATGGAGAACAATATTATGAATATGAGGTATATTGTAGTCCTTCATTTGTCATGTGACCATGTGGACTTTCCACCAGCAGAGGACTCTGCAGGCTTGAAATCAGCTGCAACCATTCAGTGCATCCTTCAATAACTTCAATTCTCTATTTAAATCAAAAGAAATCTAACATTTTGGGGGTATGAAAATTATCACTGAACAGATGAAAACCTATGGAGATATTCGGACTATAACCTTTAAAATAATTATGTATTTAAACTGTAAGGAGCTATTCTTTAAGCATTCCAGTCAATTTATTGGACAGACACTGGCGCTATTCCAGCTTTTCATGGTTGCATGAGTAAAGCCCTAGTTGGGCTCTTCTCTTCAAGCTTAGCTCCAAGGACCCTTATATTCTACTAAATATTTCAGCTGGTCCTTTTGTATAGTAAATTCTGTGGAGAAGAGTTTGGTGAATTAAGCTTAACAAACAATTTGCCTTGTGCTCTTACACTCCACAAACAACAGTATTGTGCACATAAATCTTCCTGCACGTTTAGTTGGGAAGGCTTGCTTCTACGCGCTCACACCATTTGTTTTCTTCTGCAAATCTATGTGGAGTTTCCTGGAGCTCTTTGTGCTGCCTGCCTCAAGATATCTCGGCCATATTAATCTTTTTTTTCAGTGGCACCTTTGACTAGTAAACACAGAGAGCTGTGCTGAACTAACATTACCTTTCCTCTGAATTTTCTCACAGTGATGCTTGTGATTGATTGATGTTTGTGAATTTCATCATAAAAAATGATCCTTCCAACATTGGTTGGAGCTTTCTGTCAACATGTTGCAGAGTTTGTTTAGACTGATCTTACTAATCAAATGAAGTAGGTTTAAAAGAACAGATAGAGTACATGTTTTCAAGGCATAAATATTTATAGGTAAAAATGGGAGAAGAGTTTTAAAGATTTTAGATAGTCAATGAATATTAAAAGCTTCAAAGCTCCTGGTTTTTTGCAAGTAAGCTGTGCCTTTTTCTTTGTTTCTACAGACATTGATGGCCTCTCTCTCTATCTTTAATGTTCATAAAGCTTAATTATCACGGAAAAGATTTATTAAAAGAAGTTCAAACCAAATATCATATATCCAAATGTCTCAGTGAAAATGCTAATTTTCTTTTTTTATTATCATTGCTTTTTCTTTTTGGAAATGAAGCAAGATCCAAGAATTGGGAAAAAGATGGGTAAAAAATATAAAAGAGCAATTCATAAAAAAAACAGAATCTAAAGGTGTACTGTAATCCTTGCCTTTGTGTGGAAAACATTGTGTTATCACTCACATGTTTGTTTCCTCAGGCCTTATGTGATCTTGGAGATTGGAGTTGCTGTGCTGGTTATTGTGTTTCTCTTCTACTACCTCATTACTCGTGGCAACCCGCCTAAAGACTTCTTATTCTTTGGTAATCAACACAACTGTGTGCATTTTATAATCTATTTTTAAACTTGCTGGGTTTTTGAGTTTCTCAGGATTTAAAAACCTTCTATGCTTTGTTTCTAAGCTGAACTTAGTAACTCACATAAAAAGGATTTCCCAAATCTTCACCCACTCTACAATATCTACCGGTGAAAAAAACAGGAATTTTACTCAATACGATCTTGCCTGATATGTCCAAAGTTGCTTATGCTGATCAGGATCAGAGAGAAGCTTAAGCAGACTTTTCTATGGCATGACTGCCCCAACCCGTCTACAGACTTACAGACCTCTAAATATTTTGTCAGGACTTTGTCCCCCATGACCATGTACCAAGTGGGAAGGTATTTCCAAATACATCACAAGAACAGCCTCTATACCACTGAAACCTAAAAGCATGAACAATGCCTTACTAAACAGTCCATGAATGTTGTTCAAATTGTTACAGCAAATTTCAAGGATTTATGATCAGTTTTAACCTGATAAACCAATTGGTAAATCCAGGGAAAACAACTGCCTTCACAGGTTGCCTGTTTAGTAAATACAGAGGTTCTGTTCAGTTCATTTCAGTTTATTTCTATAGCGCCAATTCAAAACACATGTCATCTCAAGGCACTTTACAGTTCAACCAGGTCATACAGTCAAAGTGATTCAAAGTTTTTTAACTAACGAAAACCAGTTGATTGCAACGACTCATTGACTCGAAGTCAATCCCTTACACTAAGCATGCTTGTAGCAACAGTGGACAGGAAAAACAACCCTTTTAGGTGTCAAATTTATTCATGTTTATTACTCCAGTAGAAATCATACTGTTTAAAAACACTTTTATAGAAGTTAAAGTATCGACTTAAGCTCTTCACTCAAGTAGAAGTATAAAAGTACCATTTTTAAAACTACTTAAAAGATTAAAGTAAAAGTAATGCATAAAAAATATATGTTAAGAACAGATGATCATACTGGTTGCTGCACTACCCTATTAAAGGAAAATCTTTCTATATTTATGGATGAAAACTTCATTATACTTAATTTTCTTAGTTTTATAACTAATGGTAACAATGTCAAATTTAACTTTCCATCATCTTGAGAGATTATTTTTTCTTGCATGTGACTAACAACAAGTTGGGGCAGCATCAATCCAACCACAAAGAAAAAAAAAAAAAAAAAAAAAAAAAAAAAAAATATATATATATATATATATATATATATATATATATATATATATTTTTTTTTTTTTTTTTTTTTTTTTTTTAATACCAACAGGCCATAATGAAAATTAACTTAAATGAAACAAAACTAACAAGTCTATTTTCAAAATGTAAGGTGAAAGAAAGTAGATTAAAGTCCCATTTCCATTTTACCACAAGCAGCATAGCAAACGAGTTTCAGAAAAAAACTGAACTGAGGTGTTGAAAACCTAACACATTCGCAATCGATAAAATGAATTAATCTAACTTTTTGATGTTTGATTTTTTTTACTAAACCACTCACTGGGCTTCCATAGCTCAAGGAAGCTAGTGTCATTACACTGTCACAAGTAGGGTGCAATGAAATTCACTCTCATTTGCGATGCCCAGGAAGAAGTGTGGGGTTAAGGGTCTTTGCTCAGACAACCAGATTGGCAGTCTGTGGGAGTAGGTTTCGAACTCACATCCTCAGGATTTCAAGCTCTATGCTGTAACCCAGGGGTGGGCATTTCCAATTCCTGAGGGCCGCTATCCTGCAACTTTTAGATTCATCCTAGGTCCAACTCACCTGAATCAATGGCTGAATTACCTCCTCAGCATGCAGTCATTTCCTCCAGAGTCCTCTCAATCATCTAATTGAACCCTAGTCGCTCACACTGAGCCTCATTCTGCTGGAGGTTTCTTCCTGTTAAAAGGGAGTTTTTCCTCTCCACTGTTGCTACAAGCGTGCTTAGTGTGAGGGATTGCATTCGAGTCAATGAGTCGATGCAATCAACTGGTTTTCCTTAGATAGAATACTTTGAATCAATTTGACTGTATGATCTAGTAAACTATAAAGTGCCTTGAGATGACATGTGTTGTGAATTGGCACTATAGAAATAAACTGAATTGAATAATTACTTGATTAAGGTGTGTTGAAGCAGGTAAATCTAAAAGTTGCTGGATACCGGCCCTCAGGAACTGGAATTGCCCAACCCTGCTCTAACCACTAGGCCACCGCTCCACCACGTTATCATCACTTAGATGTTAACCCATTACTGATAAATTAGCAAACCTGCTCTGTGTTATATTTTTTCTGCTTGTTGTGAAACATGATTGTTTTACAGACTTTTTCAAGCTTAAATAAGCATAACCTAACAGATGGGATGATTGATATAAAGGGTAGTTTTTGGAAGCAATATATTTAATTAGTCTATTATGAAACTCAGATTTAAAACAAATTCGATTAATCAGATTCGGTAGGAAAATGTTGGACTTTTGAGCCTTATTGCCCAGCCTTACCTCAGATGTATAATTTTTATCTTGAAACATGATGTTGATAGCATAAAGCTAAATATAAGATTAAAAGAATACAAGCAGAGCTGGAATGGAAAGCCTTCCATCTGCTATGTGTTAGAGTTGTCCAATTAAAGCTTAGACCTCAGAGCTGACAGAGTGGCAAGACCTTAAAAGGTTGTTATTCATAGATTCACTCCCTCCAGGCTGCCTGAGGTCAGCCATTTTGTAAATAAAAATGGAGAAACATTCTCGGATGAAAAGGCATGCAACTAAAATTCAAGGGATATGATTACTTTAATCTATTCTAATTGGTGTTTTTAATACCTGAGTGCTTTTCTAGCAACTTGTCAGGCTGCTGCATCGAACGATTTCTAAAATTCAGAATTAAAGATAGCCTTAGTTAACACCAGGAGCTGTTTTGCTTGGACTTAAACAATGAAATACAATCATTCCCAGTATTAGGAAGCATCCCAGGTATATTAGACCAATTACGTGCATTGCTTTGTTTGTTCAAAAATGTTCATACATGTGTCACAAATAAAGGTAATTTAAATTACCACGAACATTTAGGATTTAAAATAAACACAAGATGCTTCATGCATTTCACCAAAAAACATTGATGAAACAGTGTCTGAGGCCTTTCTTGCACATTTTCTTACTTTCCTGAAGGGATGCAGAATAAAGTGGCAGCTTTAGTCATCTATAATTAAAACCAAGGGGAATAAACGGCACATCACGCTGTTTAGTTCTAATACTTAAAACACTTTGTCCAGCCCTTATTATTACTGCTGTAAACAACTCAGGCTGTGTTTGTCTTTAATGTGTCATTGTTCTAACAGGCTGACATGGCACCCCGGAGCTGCTTGTTAGAGTGTTCACAGAAGTGAAATTATTTTACCACACCCATCCAATGCAGAAAAAAGCATGACAATCCAAAATAGCATAAAATATTATTCTCTTTTCAAAGGCAGAGTGTTTTAGTTGATTTGCAAGATAGTTCTACGTTGCCTCCTCTATTAATTTCTGTCTACTGGTCAAAGCCGGTTGGGTGTTAAAACCTGAGGACAGACTCCTCACTGTGATTAAAGCATGCCCCCAGCTCGACATTCTACTCAAGTCTTAATTTACCTCCCCATGCTGCCCTATAAATCAATGGCTGGCAAGTTGAAAGCAAACATTTCAATGCTCAAATATAGCTCACACAAAGGATGGATAAAGGATAGCTAGTCTGAACCGTCTTGCTTATTCACAGCAATGTGTGTCAATATTAGACATTTAGACAATAATCTGAAGCACAGTTAAGAGAAGCTTGAGCAATGTATGAGCTGTATTGCAACTGTAAACTAAATTCACAATTATTTCAGCAAATCATGATCAGTGCTTTGGTTTTTAGCAGAAATATGTAAACATATATCAATAAACTGCACATTTAACTAATGTTTCCTTTTCTGTCACAGTTTTTGCAGAGTTTTGTTTTACATGTGTCATTGATCTGACTAGTGCTTTGGAATATGATGGAGTTATTTCTGGCTTTATGGATTTCTACCAGAGGACAGTAAGTCCTTTTTTGCAGTATAATATATTTAAAATTATATTTATTTTCAATATTTACAGACAAATTTAAAAATGTATTGATTTAAAACAACAACAAAACAAAACTGATTAAATAGCAGGGATTTGTGATTAGGAAGTTTAAGTTCATGTCCTGTGTTTTAGGGCGAGCCTTACCTGGGGACTGCATACGCCATCATGATGTGTTACTGGGATGGAATAGCACACTTTATCCTGTACCTGATGATGATCAGCAGGATAACAGACAGGTGGGCAGGTGTCAACACACGTTAGGGCAAACTTACCTTGTCTTCGTGAAGTTTTCCTGTCATACAAACTTTTTCATGTTTTGCCAGGTTACAATCACACACCTGCACATATTTCAATAGAGTTTTATATATTGGATCGACACAAAGCAGAGCAGATTTGTAAAGTCAGAGCTAACATGATTCATGGTTTTTAATATATCCTATTGTATTCATTATATTCAGATCTCTTGAATCAATTCTTGCTAGATCAATTTTTTGCAGTTACAGCTTATTTTATGCTAGGTTTCTGCTAGCCTAGCAAAAAAAAACAAACAAAAAAAAACCCTCTCATCACTCTTTAAATCTTCCCAAACCTTAAACTCAGACATAGAAGGGTAAACTTCCACTCCAGTCTGAAGACATTTTGTGCCTCTTACAGGTGTTTTTCCAAGCATATTTCCAACAATTCTTATCAGTTTTTTAATCGTGCTGAAGAAATTCCCATACAATAATGCTGCAACCAATGTGTTTCAGTGTTTTCTGAGGGATTAGCAGTCCTAGTTTTCTGCTGCATTTAGCTTTTTTGATGAAGGCCAAAAAGTTTAACTTATCTCAATCTTTTTTGTTTAATTTGGTCAATTTGTTGCAAAGGATTTTACTCAGATAGATTGAAGAAGGCGGAAGGCTAGACATTTTCTATGCTGATCAGCCCATAAAATCTCAGTAATACTTTCTTTAATAATGCAATGAAACCAATACCCAGACAAATATACTCATACATATATGTTGGCTAAATGTCTCCAAAAGAGATAAAAGAGATATTCACAACAGTTGAGTTTTTTTCATCCTATTGATTTCTTGTGTCCTCCACAGGAGAGCCTACCGTACCCTGGGCCTATTCTGGGCCGGCTCCCTGTGTGCTAACATGAGCGTGTTTATCTCTGGGATCGTAGCAGGTGAGCCTAATCTTCTATCCTGTCTTCCACCAGTCCCGTGATGGCGAGCTTTAATCAAGCAAACATCTGCCCTGCCATGTACCATCAGCATCACAGTTCAGGCTGCAAACAAAGCTCATGAACAACCGCTGTCACATCCCACAGAACAAAGCACAACACAGAATGGAAGCATCTGTTGTTGGCTTCTCAAACTGCATGCACAAATGTCACAAGATCAAACTCCTCTGCTGGCAATGAGTTCTACATTCTGTTGTGTAATCTAAGGCAGTCTGTGCAGAATGCTTCATCTATTTTATTAGGAAGATCAGTGGCTGGGCTGTATGGATATGTTTACAGATAGGGTGGGAGATGTTCCCTCCAAGCTTACATAAGTTGTCTTTTGGCAGGTAAATATGGCTCTGAGATCCGTCCAGCTTTCTGGATCAATTTCCTATTTCTTCTGATGCCCATACTGGGAGCCGTCACCCTGTTCACTCGGCCCAAGGACAGGCCACTTATCGGGGGATACAACGTGAGTCTGATGCATTAGTAATTAGACCTTGAGTATGACTCTCAAGAGCTGTATTGATACAATGTTTATGATATTCGATAAGCAATATAAACTCTGCGGTTTTGTCTCTGTGGGATTCATGCCCACACAATAATAAGCTGCTCTACACCAGCAGCATTGGACTTGATTTTGGACATTCAGCCTTATCAGTGTTAGTGAGCATATGGTGGAAAATGTCAGTGTTGAACATCATGAGCTCAAGACACCCCAGTAAATATTAAGCCTTTTTCAAACATTTCAGCATCTAATCTTTGTATTGATCTTTTCAAAAAAGTTTAATAGTTTTAACTGTGGATATATTCTGAAAGTGGTGGCTAAAAGTGTTGGGAGTGGCCGCCTAGTGGTTAGGGGATAGAGCTTGGAATCCTGAGGTTCTGAGTTTGAGCCCCACTCCCACAGCCTCCACTCGGGGTTCCTCAGCGAAGACCCTTAACCACCACACTGCTGGGTTAAATGCAGAGGTATATTTCTCCGATGTGAGAAGAATAAAGTTCAATTATTATTAAAAATGTTCAAACTACATTTCATTTACAAAGCAAAGCATAGCGACAAAAGTGTGCATTGAAACAATAATGGAAACTGTTCGTCTAAAGTAAGTGCAGTGAGATGCTTCTTGTAGCCATCTAATTTTAAGCAGTTTGGTTTGTAAAGTCGCTCCAACACACAGACACAGACTCTACTGACATATTTTGGTCCTGTGTCATGTTACTGGACCAGTTTTTCCATTTGGGATATCTGCAATGTCAAATTGAAAGTAAGATTAAAGCTTAACATGGTTTAACCCCCTCTGTACTTTTCATTTTTGGACACCTGGTTATAGGCCCAACACGCCCAGACCATGAAGCTAATCTGGCGCCCCTTGGACCTGATCCTGGTGGTTCTCCTGTTAGCCGCCATGGCATTCACCATCCTCAGAGGCCTGGTGAGCATTTGATTTACTTACTGTTATTACTAGAGCTCAAAGGGTAAGTCTAAATTTGAAAAAAGTTCTAAAGCTTCCATATATAACGGGGGAAATAAGTATTGAACACACCACCGTTTTTCTCACTAAATATATTTCTAGTAGTGACATGACATTTTCACCAGATGTCAGTAACAATTCATGCAATCCACACATACAAAGAAATCAAACGATAGATGTCCAGAAATTAAGGTATGTGTAATAATGTGGAATGGCAAATGGAAAAAGTATTGAACACACATGTATATATTCAATACTTTGTACAAAAGCCTTTGCTGGTAATGAAACTCTCAATATGCCTCCTGTATGAGTTGCATACATTGCCTAGGTGTGATTTTGGCCCATTCTTCCACACCAACAGTCTTCAAATCTTGAGGTTTTCATGGGCAAATAAGGTGAACTCTGTTCTTTCTATAGATTTACTTTTGAGAGTTTCCTTGGCTCTATCTTTGGGGTCATTGTCTTGCTGATATGTTCATCCACGTTTCATCTTCATCACCTTGATAGATGGCAGCAGATTTTTATCAAGATAGTCTTTGTACATTTTTCCATTCATTCTTCCTTCAATTATTTGAAAAACCATATGCTGAAAGCAGTCCCACACCATGTTTCCATCTCCAAACTTCACTGTTGCTATGCTGTTTTTGTAGTAATGTGCAGTGCCATATGACCTCCGAATATGATGAGTATTATGGCATCTAAAGAGTTCAATTTAGGTCTCACATGACCAGATTATATTCTCCCAGGATTTCACCGGCTTGTCTAAATGTTGTGCAGCAAACTTGAAACCACCTTCAACATGCTTTTTCTTCAGCAGTCTTGCATGGTAAGCATGTACACAGGCCATGATGTTTAAATACATTTTTTATTGTTCTCTTTGAAACAAAGATACCTGCAAATTCCTGGTCTTTTTGAAACTCTCCGCAAGTGGGTTTTGGCTCTTGGACAGCTCTTTTGAGAATTCTTTTCACTCCACTGTTAAATATCTTGCGAGGAGCACCTAGTTGTGGTCAGTTTATGGTGATTAAACCAACCACAACTATATTATATTATATTTAATATAATATATATTCTTAATAGTAATATTATATTCTTTCCATTTTTTGGCCCGAAGTGTTTCAGAAGTTTAGAAATCCTTCTTTAACCAATGCCATCATTAAGTTTGCAAAGGTCTTGAGATAGCTCTTTACTTTTACCCATCATGAGATGTTTCATATGACATACATGACACCTTTTTATAGGCCATCATTTGGGAAAGAGCCAGCTGCTATTAATTTGCACTGACAAGGGGCCGGATTGCTTTCTATTTACTGAGAGATTTCTGCGGGTGTGTTGGCTTTCCAGGCCTTTTTAAACCTTACATGTTCAATACTTTTTCCCTGTGCAATTCTACATTATTCTATATAACTTAATTTCTGGTCATCTATGGTTTGATTTCTTTGTAAGTGTAGGTTGCATTGATTGTTACTGACATGTGGTTAACATTTCATATCAAAAGCACCTCTATAAATATATTTACTAAGAAAAATGGAGGTGTGTTCAATACTTATGTATGCTGTATGTATCTGTGAATATCCACAAAACTGGCCGACCACTAAAGTTGAAGGAAAAGAAGAGAGTATGAGAAATTTGTTTTACTTATATATTTTAGAGGCCTTCTAAATGGAAAGAGGAGAAGCTTCATGTTATTTGTAATGAATATCTTTGATTGCTGTGCTTTTATTTACAATGTTTATATATACCGTATTTTCACGACCATAAGGCGCACCGTACTAAAAGGCGCAGTCTCAGTTATGTGTCCCATTTCTGTATTTAACACACACATAAGGTGCACCGGACTATAGGGCGCGTTTTTTATATACCGGTACATGTCCTCTACTACCTTTAAATAGCTCTACTGCGTATTTAAAAATACAGCGGGGGCAAAACTGAGTATGACTGTGCTTTATTCATGTATTTATTACAAACTATTAATCAAACCTGGGAGCTGGCCGTGAGACAGACACATCACAGATGACAGTGCGCTGTGATCACTCCTAAATTAACTTAAAATCCTGAAACCTGCCGACGGAATTTGTTCGCTTTTATTACCGGTATCCTGGTGCCTGCAGTTTAAATTATTTAGATGAAAAACACCTGCCAGCCGCCGCGGTGAAACCGGAGGCTGCCCAGCCTAGAGGCTGCTGATGAAGGGATTTCTACTGTCGGCGCACCGCTGGTATGTGGGGGTCTGAGCGGCTCCGACAGAAATAGATAATCTGGATGAACTGACTGCAATTATGAAGTTTTCAGGTGGCCTTTCTCACTTAAAAACATATTAAAACTACTTTATTCCCACTGATCACAGCAAATATAGCTGCAAGATTTAGATTATTTAGATTAAAAAACACCTGCCAGCCACCGCGGTGAACCCGGAGGAGACCCGGCCCAGAGGCTACTGTTGAATTAAGTTTTCAGGTAGAAAAATAGAGCGGGATCAAAACTGAGTATGATTGTGCTTTATTCAAGTATTTATTACAAAGTATTAATCAAACCCATCAAAGCCATCATCCTCTGTTTCTGAATTACACAGCTGCGCTAAATCAGACATGCCAGTTTCCCCTTCTTCGCTGTCAGAGTCACTTTCCGTGCCGGGCGGCTCCTCAGAAATAATGCCGGCTTTTGCGAAAGCTTGAACAACAGAGCCAGCAGACACGTTAGTCCAAGCATCTACAATCCATCCGCAAACTGTGGCATAACTTGCCTGGCGCTGCCTTCCACTTATCGTGAAACTGTGGTCTCCGTCTGTCATCCATCGCTCCCACGCCGCTTGCAGCCTTACTTTGAACGGCTGCTTCACACCGATGTCGAGCGGTTGAAGTTCCTTTGTCAGACCCCCCGGGATAACAGCGTTCATTTGATTCACCTTTTTTTTCACATCGGCTGTGAGATGGGCACGCAGTCACAGATTAACAGCGATGGTGATGCGTGGAAAAAACCACCTGGTCTCCTCACATACACCTCCCTCAGCCACGCTTTCATCATCTCCTCATCCATCCAGCCCTTTTCATTTGCGTTAATATCATATGTAATAAGAGCGCTGTGTCTGTCTCGCTGTCAGCTCCCAGATCAGCTTCTCTGATTGGTTGATGCGGCGCGTCCAGCAGCAAAACTTCAATTTTTCCATCTCGAGCAGCAGCAGCACGTTGGCAGATGCTTAAACGCTCCCGACGCGCGGCGCCTGCTGCTCAAAACGCGCTGCGGGATCTTTTGCTGCGCCTATACGCGCGTCAACCATTGACTTTGCATGTAAACTTGTTGCTTCTGCTGCACCTGCTGGGTCCGGTTCACACCGATGTTGAGCGGTTGAACAGCGAGCACAGCATTCATTTGTTTCACCATGTTTTTCACATCAGCTGTGAGATAGGCACGCATGGAGTCACATATTAACAGCGATGGTGATGAGTGGAAAAAAGACACCTGGTCTCCTTACATTCAGCCACTCTTTCATCATCTCCTCAATGAGGTGGTCCTAAAAGTCGCAGTTACAACACACATAGGGCGCACCGCACCAAAGGGCGCACCGCACATTTTGAGGGAAAAAAAAGACATTTAAGTGCGCCTTATAGTCGTGAAAATACGGTAAATAAGTTGAAACTGTATTGTTTTTTTCTATTTGATTCAGGCCAATAATTTTAGGATTTTAATTTATTTCCGTAAAGGTTTTTTTTTTTTTCTGTGCATTACTCTAACTCAAATTTATTATGGTTGAAAATTATATGTATCTAGATTCTTGACATAACTGTTGTGACAAGATCAAGAAATAGATTTGCATTTCTGATCAAACGGATGTGAATTTGATGATAGTTTTCATCAATAATTTGTCTGCAGGTGGCTCTGGACTCTCCACTTGAAGCCTGCTCTGTATACCTAAGTCAATATGAACCCTACCTGAAGGATCCTGTGGGCTATCCCAGGGTGATGGTGGGTATTTGTTTTCCTCGCTATGCTGCCTCTTTGGTGCCTGAAAGCATTTCTCCAGCCCGTTTTCAATAACAAGATACATGAAAGACCATTTTCATTTGTATCACTTTGAGCATTCTGGAAAGTCGCCCCTATCCCATCTGCTGGCTGAGCTGGCACCTGATTATGAGGCCATTTTTAATCATTAAAGTCCAGATGAAGAAGGTTGCAAAGGCCAACGCATCATTGTCGCTCTTTCATTTACTTAAGATGGATAACAGATTATACTCTGACTGGCAGTTGGTCTCCTTTCAGCTTTCTTTTCTTCCTCTGACCCCTCACTCATTTGGGCTCTGTTGTGTTTTGTTTAGCCTACGCTGTTTTGTCAATAGGTTATCCAAAGACATTGCAGCAGCTGCAGTTCAAGCACAATTGTAATCAATGATCAGACCGACAAACAGCGCGGTAGGGACTTGATAAGATAATCCCCCCACCTAAAGCCTGCCATCAGCATCTCACTGGGTGGGAGAAGGGTGTGTGTCTCGGTGTGTGCGTTTGCAGCAAGTGAAATTATGTCTTGGTTATCAGCGTTTGTGCATGCATGCTCATCAGTGCTTAGATTATAATTATATTTTACAGAAACAAAATTAAGCTAGGCTTGTTGCACATTGTTAAACTTCCTCTGCACAATATATTAAAGGATATTTAATATATTAACGTGGCTGTAATAACAAAGACATTTCAACAAAAGACTGAAGGGCATACATGATTGGCTTTTAGGCTTCGTGGTGAGCTCATTGGAATTCATCTGGACCTCAGGCTTTGCAAAGAAAAGAAACCATTTAGTGCTGTAATTTCAGGATTTTATAAAGTGGGAACGTGGCTTTCATGCATTCAGACTTTTTTGGCTGAAGGTTATGAAAGTTTCCACTGTGACCCTTGAGAGGGATAATTTCTGCTGAGTTTGCGGACTAAGACTTATGAACAGTTGCAAATTGGAAAGAAAAAAATTGGATAATGGTGAACTGACTTTATGATCACTTCCTGAATATTAAGAGGATCAGTGTGATCATTTTATCTCACTTTTAATTGTTCTTTTTGATCTTATTCATTCATTAAAATATGTATTTAAGAAAACCAAGTGAAGATTTGAAATGATACTAAAGATTAAGGATTGACATGCACCTGTGTTTGATTGTTAAAATTTAAAAAATTATTTGAAAGGATAGCTCGGGACATTTTGAATTAAAGCTACAGTGTGTAATAATTACAGGCATATAAAGTCAGAAATTTAATATATTATACATAACTATGTTATTTATCATCACCTATGAGCTCAGCCTTTTAACCATAATATTTGCGTTGCCTTAGAATTCGTTATTTATAATTACATAGGAGCGGGTCTCGCAGCCATGGAGGCAGACATCTTTGCGCTACGGCAAGCGCAGAGGCAACAAACAAGCGATTGCGAGATCTCCCATGACGCTCGAAAATAACTACGGCAAGTTGAGAGAGATGAACTGAGACGGTACTGAACAGTAGATGGCAGTATTATGCCTGAGAAGCGTTTAGTCTGCCTGAAACCAAAGAAGAAGAAGAAGCAGGTATACTGCGCCTCAGTAACAAGAAAGGTGAACAAGGCGGCAGGCATGAGTGACTTTGCAAACTGTTTGGCACTGTGTGGCCAAACATCAGACGAATGGAGGATCATGCCTACTCTGTATCACAACGAAAAGCGGCGGACACCGAACCCCCGTCATCTAAGAAGCGGAAACACGACGAGAATAAACGCAAGCGTGACAAGAAACGACAAAAAACACGGATCAACATTGGCACGGCATTTACACGATGGAAGTCACTGATGGAGGAAAAAGGTTTTCAAAGTGACGCTCAAGTTGCCAGTTTTCTCTTGGACAGGTAATTAATCCTACACACACAATTGTCTAATATCACTGCAGTTTTTGGAGTACAGGATGCTCAGACCTGTCTAAAACAATAACATGCTGCGTGATGATGCTGTTACTCTCCAGTATACTTATTCAGCAACGTCCCTGACGTTTTACAGGTAATGATTCAGTAATTTTCTGTAAAATAATTTTCTGGATATATACCTCGGTTACTTCTCTCCGGCTCCTTTGGAGATCTTCAAGCCTTTCCTCCTCTGCTCTAGTCACCCCGTTGGCACCCCTCCCTCGCCTGGCCCTAGCTGCACGGCCTCCCTGCCCTCGCCCTCGTCCTCTCCCTCTTCCTCGCCTTGTAACCCCCGTGCCACCAAAATGACTTGGACTCTGTAAACGGGGAATATATATTCTTCCAGCAAACACAATCTCGCTGTTAAACTAATGACTACAATTACTTCGTCTGTTTATATCACCATGTAAAGCAGCTCACCAAAACGTCACAACGATGTAGAAAAAATAACGGGTATATGTATTATCTTAAGTCTACATGAAATCTATACCCTACACAGACTAATGAAATACTATCTGTAAAATTATCTATGTAAACAAACCTCATCACTTGAGAAGGTAGGTGATGTGGACGTTGTGGAAGACATTTTGTCCCGTAACGCTCGCCGTACTGTTGGGGGGGGGAAGCGGTGGGGGGGAGATGTTCATGTTGCTGCGGTCTGCAGTCTGACCGCTAGATGTTGCTGAAAATTACACACTGTAGCTTTAAAGTTCTCTTTAAAGGCTTTTCATCTTACCTTGCATCCATAACTTTCTTAATATCTTTGTTACAGTAGGTATAAATCCAGATTGACCCATGCCTGAAGACAAAGCTAAGGACCACTCTAAAAGGGGCCATGAGAAAAAAAATAAACTCCAGTGTAAAAGACCTTATTATAGTGTATGTGAACATCAGTTTAATACCCAGAAACCATTGCTTCGTTTTTATTGGCAGGTTATTTACTCAGAAAACATATGTTATTTTAACAGAGAAAGGGAGCTACCAACAATCTCCCTGACTTAAACATGCACTGAGGATATGACATGTAGTATAGGTTGTTAGCAGAAGCACAGTGCAGACTAGAACTTGGTAACAGTAGGATAAAAAAATAAGAAACTTAGAATAAAGACCAGGAACAGGCAGAAAAATTAGGGTTACAGAAGATTACAATTAATTTGGCAGAGGATAATAACTTTGGATGAAAACATAGGCCGAATTTCAGCAGAAATCTAACATAGATAAATTGAAATTTACAAAGAAATTAAAAAAAGAGTAAACTAAGAAAAGAAACTCAAAGAACATGAATAAATGCCAACACATGAGAGAACATAAACATAAAAAAAGATCCTAAAAGACATATAATGTGCTGCCAGTCAGAGTAAATCGATTTGGGAAAACAATATAATACAAGTGGTTTAAGTGCTGCTTTATCGTGTTCCACACCAATTGTCTTTATATCAGGCAGTTACCTGAACCAATAGACCTTTTTTATGTTTTATTTTCAGTACTTGTTTCTTTTTTTTTAATGAGATGGAAGAAAACATGCGGCAACGGTCGACGGGTTAAAACATAAACTCCTAGACCACGTAAAGGTCTAACGACTGGTTTATATGAGATGATAACATCCGAAGTGGATGTAATGCAGCTCACCCAGGATGGCAAATCAATGTGAGCTGTGGAAAAAAGGCTTCCTATGTCTGTCAGCATAGTGTCCAGAGGCTGGAGGCCCTACTAGGAGACAGGCTGGTACACCAGGAGACACGGATGAGGCTGTAGGAGGCAAACAACCCACCAGCAGGAGTGCTACCTCCTTCTTTGTGCTAGGAGGAACAGAAGGAGCATTGCCAGAGCCTGGCAAAATTACCTCCACCAGGGCATGAATGTGCATGTGTTTATACAAACGGTTTGAAACAGACTCCATGAGGATGGTATGTGGGCCCGACATCCCAGATGGGGGTTGTGCTCACAGCCCAACACTGTGCAGGATGCTTGGCATATACCAGAGAACACCATGATTGACAAATTCAGTACTGACGCCCAGTACTCTTTACAGATAAAAGAGGATTCACACTGAGCACATGTGCCAGACGTGACAAAGTCTGGAGACACCATAGAGAGCTATCTGCTGCCTGTAACATCTTTCAGCATGACCGGTTTGGCAGTTGGTCAGTAATGGTGTGATGTCGCATTTACTTGGAGGGGTGGAGAGCGCCCCATGTGCTCACCAGAGGTAGCATGGAGGCCATTAGGTACTGATATGAGATCCTCAGTCCCCTGGTGAGACTATGTGAGGGTGCAGTTGACCCTTGGTTCCTCATAATTCAGGAAAAAGCTAGACGTCAAGCGGCTTGAGTGTGTCAGCAGTTCCTGCAAGATAAAGACATTGAAGCTGTTGACTGACCCGCCCATTCCCCAGACCTGAATCTGGTTTAAGACATCTGGGACATCATGTCCCGAGCCATTCAAAGATGTCACGTTGCACCACAGACTGTCCAGGAGTTAGTAGATGCTTTAGTCCAGGTCTGGGAGGATATCCCTCAGGAGACAATTCACCACTTCATCAGGAGCATACCCAGGCGTGTAGGGAGGTCATACGGGCACATGGAGGCCACACACAATACTGAGCCTCACTTTGACCTGTTTTAAGGAGATTACATCAAAGCTCGATCAGTCCATAATGTTTTTCCACTTTCATTTTGTGTGACTCCAAATCCAGGCCTTCATTTATTAATACATTGGTTTTCCAATTGTTATTTGTGTGATTTTGTTGTGAGCACTCGTCTTTGTACAGAACAAAGTATTTCAATTCAATTCAATTCAGTTTATTTATATAGCGCCAAATTCACAACACATGTCATCTCAAGGCACTTTACATTTCAACCAGATCATACAGTCAAATTGATACAAAGTTTTCTATCTAAGGAAAACCAGTTGATTGCATCGACTCATTGACTCAAATACAATCCCTCACACTAAGCATGCTTGTAGCGACAGTGGAGAGGAAAAACTCCCTTTTAACAGGAAGAAACCTCCAGCAGAACCAGGCTCAGTGTAAGCGGCCATCTGCCGAGGTCGATTGGGGTTCAAGGAGACAGAAGCAGAGATACAAAAAGCAGCTGTAAAAGGCGGCCCCGTCCAGGAAACACGCAGCCAGGCAGACGAGCTCCAAGGCAGCTCCCATGCCAGAGGACGAAGACAGCACATCCACTCAGTCACGGCCAGAGAAACAGGACCACACTGAAAAACAGGCCGATCTCCAACATCTATAAACAAGGGTGTTGATGGAAGCAGCACAGCTGATGTTTCTTTCCAGGATGGAGTCACAGCCAAACAGGAACAGACGAGGCAAAGCTACTCTGAGGAAAAGCAGAGAGAGCAGAAGGTTAGAGATTGAACTAACAGATTCTGCAGAATAGCAGAACAGAGAGAGAATGAAGCAGAATGATGAAATGGGGGTCCCTATGTCCTCCAGCAGTCTAAGCCTATAGCAGCATAACTATAGAGATAGCTCAGGATAACCTGAGCCACTCTAACTATAAGCTTTATCAAAAAGGAAAGTTTTAAGCCTAGCCTTAAAAGTAGACAGGGTGTCTGCCTCACGGACTAAAACTGGTAGTTGGTTCCACAGGAGAGGAGCCTGATAACTAAAAGATCTGCCTCCCATTCTACTTTTAGAAATTCTAGGAACCACTAGTAAACCTGCAGATTGAGAGCGAAGTGCTCTGTTAGGAACATAAGGAACAATCAGATCTCTGATATAAGATGGAGCTTGGCCATTTAAGGCTTTATATGTGAGAAGGAGGATTTTAAATTCTATTCTGGATTTAACAGGAAGCCAATGAAGAGAAGCCAGGATAGGCGAGGTATGATCTCTCTTTTTAATTTTCATTAGAACTCTGGCTGCAGCATTTTGGATCAGCTGAAGGCTTTTAACTACAGTTTGTGGACTTCCTGATAGTAAAGAATTACAATAGTCCAGCCTTGAAGTAACAAATGCATAAGAATATCTAATTAATCCCGATCCAGTATGTGTTATTTGAATGTCTACTTTATTTTTTGGAGCAGTGTATATATCAGTAGCTTCAGCTTAGTATTTATCATTAGTTTGACACCTGGAACCAAACATCTGTGGTTTATATGCATGAGTGTGCTGTGGGTAATGGGTTTAATATGCCTCTTCAGAAAGAGAATATGCTCAATAGCTAATGTTGACTGAAGACTCGCCCTGCAGAGCACAGGACTGGCATAGAGAAGACTAGAGCCCCAGATGTCTAAAGGAACCCCACACTACAGGGACACAGGGAGGGCAGACATAGGGGCAGCTGCACTGACCTGAGAAGGGCAGAGGGAAAAAAATATATATTTTAAATGATGTAGCTGGGTTTAAGGAACCAAGGAATCATTTTTGCAACTTGTAATATAGTTCAAACTAACATGCTGTTAAAAAAGAGCAACACTGTAGTATGTGTCTACTGTTTACCAACATATTTTATCAGATAAACACTGGAAAATTACTCTGTGCACTTGCACCACATTGAACTTTTTCCACAATCATGTATTACCCCTGCAGTTTAATAAATGCCGATTTGTTGACAAATTCTGAGTCAGATTGGGGGCAGAATACTAGTTAGTTGACCTCAGTGCTTTATTTTATTTGGATGATCCAAAAGGGGATATAAACCCGATGAGTCAGTTTTGGTGGTGGACTTGTTAGGAGAAAGTTACAATCAACTTTGGTACTGGAACATTTTTTTAATTTATTCAGCTGCCCTGTGAAATTGGCCTTGGACTAGCTGTTAGATTCAGTTATCGAAAACCAACTAATCTGGATTCATACCAAATGAAGATGATCATCCACTACAAGTAAAATGTTCCTTTTAACCATAAAAAAATCATAATGATACAATAAATTAATGTATGCATCCGTATTTATTTTTAGTTCAGTTTCTCAACATAGTACAACACCTGCTCTCCGCTTTGAAGGTACATTCCAGATTTTTTATCCAGTGTCATCAGTGCCAAATTTATCCAGTCCTTGGAAAACATTGTGTTAGAATGAAAGGATTTCAAAAATAAACTTGCTGTGCTGTATATGCAGCGAGTGTAGGTGAAGTGTGGCCAGAATAGAAAAAAGATTCACTGTGTTGGCTGAACTGAACAGCAGCACTGAATGACATTGATGGAGTCTGTTTTCTTTGGCTCAATACCCTCCATTTTATACAGTGGCGAAATCCCTGGCATCGGTTTTGAATAAAAGCTATTTGTTGCAAACTTTGTGACACATTGAAATAAACATGAAAGATTTAGAACCATTAGAGTGGAATAATTGAAACAGCAAAATTAGAACAAATATAAATGATTAAAAGGGGTTGTAATTGTTTTGCTAGATGCTGCACCTATTCTTTTATGGGCTGCCTCTGCTGGGTGCATTTGTTTATGGCCTCCTCAGACCTGGCTGCACATGGATGTCAGACTGGACAACGTTCTTTGCTGGTGCCATGATCCAGGTAAAACCACAATGACAGGCATTCAATGAGTATGGATGGCTATGAATACATTATGAATAACAGCATTATCTTTAATGCTGTTATGTGCTTAAGTGGGTTGTCAATGAAACAATGTCAAACAATAATTATTTATGCTATAGATAGAATTGTTTTGAGTGTTTTGTTTTTTTAAATTATCTTTTTACCATAAAAAATGCTGCTGCTCCTCTGTATGGATCTGAATGAAATTCATAAAGTGAGGCGCACCTTGATTAACTTTTTTTTCCACTTAAACTGCAAGTTTCAGATTTTTCTTCAATAAAAGGCAAGAAAATTCAAATTATTCCTCTAAGAAAAGTGTGAAAATCTGATCTGTGTGGAATTAGATGTGCAAGGTTTATTTCCCTAGGGCATATCAGTGTAGTCTTTACCTTATTGTGTCTCCTTTTAGTGCCAGTGGTCCCACATTGGGGGATCCCTTCATCCTCGCACTACAACTCCCTTTCGTATCCCGAATGATGCTTTCTGGACAGTCCTTGGAGCTAACCTGCTCTACGCTGCTGTTCCCATCATGGTGGCCATGCGGGTTCACAGTAACCCATACTTTTTCTTAAAAATTGCTCCTTTCCCTGGGCAGACTGGTTTGCCAAACAGTGAGGAGAAAGACACCAAGTTCAAAGACAAATGAATCTGAATTATTACTGACTTTTGGAGATAATCACTTATGTCAATGTTCATAAAGAGCTGTTTTATCACAAATGTCATACTTGAAAATTCCTCAATAAAAGATTATTTTGCGGAAAATTTGTTTTGCCTTTGGGTATTTGTGGGCCTCAATGAATCAGTTTTCCAAATAATGCACGCATTTATGGGTCAAAAAAGGTGCAATGTAATAAGCAAGACTGGTTTGTTCAAGTTTTGTTTTTTAGTTTTCAATGAATATAAGCAGTGACGTGCGGTCAGGGGAGGCAGGTGAGGCAGTGCCTCACCAGCCATCATGGAAAGAAAGAAAATATATAATCATAAAGTAATTTAAATTGTTATATTCATCCGGTGGTTTGTACTAAAAAATATTAATTTTTCATGTAGCTTCACCAATTTCGATTTTTATTTGTTCAAAATCGCTGAATTTTCTTATTTTCCCATTCAAATGCTTGGAAGCGATGCCGGTGAGGCAGCAGCGAGCTCTGCCTCACCTTGGATTGCGCAACCCCTGGCTCTGCGCTGGCTGCAAAGCGGAGAGAGCATGTTGCTGTACGGCGTCAATAAAATGGTTTAAACAAATGTAATATGTGAACTTATTTCTAATAATTTGGCTTATGTATATAATGTACAGAGCTTTTTGTCACCAACTGTGTTTGTGTAACGTGTTTCGTGTAATGAGCGATTATAAACGGCAGAGAACAAGTTCGAGGTGAGGCAGGCAGTTCTCTTGCCTCATGGCAGGGGGTGCTCAAGAGACTGAAAACATAAGGCAGGAACAGGACGGATCAAGGAAGGCTTTCTTCCCTGGCAGTGATCTCCATTGAGACAGAGAGACTTTTAAAACTGAAGGAAGATAAGGAGGACTTCTATTCATTTATAAGTAAAGGTAAGACAGTAATAACATTTATTTTGTTTTGTTTTTTAAGGAAATGTGTGTTTTGTGAGCTACAGTTTGTATGTGTAAGGATGCAGAAGTGAAACATAACCTGTAAACTGCTGTCAATCTATGCATCTATTTGCAAATCTGATTCTGATGACGTCAGTGCCTCACCAGCTATGAACCTCACCGCACGTCACTGAATATAAGGATACAGTTAATTATGCATGGAAAATAACAAATGCCTGCTGAAGAAGTAGGAGAATTTGTGTGTTAAATTGCTGAGGGACATTCAACACAATTCTTCAAGCCGATCGGCTAAATCAAGTGGCACAAGCCTCTCAGGTTGAGCTTTTTGCCAATCAGGGCAGCAGTAGAACAATAAATTTCTTACCAAATCCAGTGGGGAGGAGTGCACAAACATCCTTTCTATCCACAAAGGCAGTTCATCTTCCTTGGCAGGTAGCTCTTTTGCTGGGAGATGTCCACTTTTCACCATCTGTTTGGGGCATCAGTTGAAGATTCATAGATTAATGAAACTATCCAATTTTCACTGGTTTCCACAGAAGCAATGAGCAGGTATTTAAATGGACTGCTTCAAAGTTACCGAGGGTGCATAGCTTGTCTTTGCTCTTTCTGCACTTATTCAAAATGTTGAGCTTTTTACACAAATGCAGATGCAGTAGACCAAGGATGGAAACCAAATTCTGATAGTCACTTCAGGGGATTGTTCTAATACAGAATTATTTCAAAGACACATCTTGAAAAGCTGTGACACCATCCTAGAGAGAAATATCAGCTGAGCTGCTGCCATCAAAATCTTTGTTTATAGATGTTGGAGCTTGGACTGTTTTTCAGTGTAGTCCTGTTTCTCTGACTGTGACTAACTGGATGTGCTCTCTCCATCGTCTGACATGGGAGCTGGTTCGGAGCTCGTCTGCCTGGCTGTGTGTTTCCTTGATGGGGTCGCCTGCTGAGCTGGTTGACAGTTGCCTTTTCTATCTCTGATCCTTTTTTTTTATATCTGCCTCTTTCTCCCTGAACCGCAGTTGCCTCAGCAGATGGCAGCTCACATAAAGCCTGGTTCTGGTTCTGCTGGAGGTTTCTTCCTGTCAAAAGGTTTCATCTCCACTGTCGCCACATGTATGCTTAGTGTGAGGGATTGATGAACAGTTAACAACCAAATTAAAGTGAAAATCACTGCAAGCTAATTCAGGAGGAGCAGCTCTTGCTAGTCAATGACTGCATGCAATCAACCGGTTTTCCTTACCAATCAGTGTTGTCTATGTAAAGAGCCATGAGATGAAATATGCTGTGAATTGGCACTCTATAAATGAACTTAATTGAAAACACTTTGATTTTTATTCATTAACTTAAAACAGCTGGATCATTGTTATTTAAACCCCTGTGAGCTTAAATGATACACAGAGAAAGTTTGTATTATGGGTTTTGATCCATATAAACCACCTTCAACCCACAGGCTTCCAGATTTTTGCTACTCATGATATATACACATATCTTATATAAAACACTAGAGAAAGTCTAAAAGCTTTTAAAAGCAAAGATGTCTGTCAGTATTTAAGAGCTAGGTGGGTTATTGACCCAAAATAATGTCCTCCAAAAAACAAGAAGATATTCGTATGTAAAGTGAAGGTAAGTCTTGTTCTGCTGATCTTCATGTTACTTTATGTAAACAGCTAAAAACAACTTTAATGTCTGTAGCAACATTTTGGGATCTTAGCATAGCTATGGAAACATATTTTTATTAGAGGGTACCAAAGGTAGAAACGCTTGTCAAACCTGTAATGCGTTACCTTATATGCTAAATTTCATGAAAATGCTTCCATCATATCCAAATCTATTTCTATGCACACATCAGGGCTAGGTGAGCACAGGGTAAAGGTTCTGTTGACTTGCTGGCAGTTAGCTGGCTGTCACTTTTTTGGGAATACAGGCACAGCTGGTTTGTTGCAATACCAATTATCTGCTTGTCATGTCATGCAGGGTGAATTATTTTGCTGATTAGCGCCGCAGACTTATCCTTCTTTAGGGTTCGTTAAAATAAACATGAGGAAATCTTTTAGTAGAAAGGTAACATAATAATAGTGCTAGGGAGCTGGGAGTTTGGCCAGGAAATAAAAAGTTGAGAGTTAAAGAATGGAAGCCAGTAGGCAGTGGGCAGAGAGGTGGAAGTAAGAAAAAAAAAATAAAGTAAATGAGCTATTAACAAGAGCCTCTTTAAGAAGACCTTTTGAGATAAATGTGACACAAAAAATTACAGAGCATGAATACTTTTGTAAAGCCTTGAAGAATTAAATAATTAACCAATAGCTTAAAAAGTGCCTCTAAACATCACATTGTCAAAAAAAATAACCTGGACAGTTTTCAACGAGTATAAAAACAACATCCCAATATGTAACAGATCTCTCCAGGATGTGTACGCCTCCAGGACTCTGAGGCATGCAGAGTAGGCATTCTACTGTGTCTATATAGTACATAGCTATATACAGTGTTGTGCCTGAACGCGTTCATTGAACGAAAGTTCATGAACTCGTTCATATTTTGGGCGAACGTGAACTGAACGTACTGCATTACTGCCTGATGAACGTTATTGAGAACTCGTTCATTCTGGTGTCTGTGAACGGCACGCTCTCTCAGTTCAGCTCCGTTCAATAGGTTGCCAGATTTCTATAGAGTCCTCCAGGCGAAACCCCGGCTAAATCACACTGTAAACAGGCCTTAATATGTAGCGGGAAAAACACCCAATCTGGCAACACTAGCTACCAGCGTCGTAGCCTACAGCCGCGTGCGTCATCAAAACAAAATGCAGCGTGGAAGCTACAGCAGCATGGAGGCTACCGTGGAGGCGACAAAGCAGCAGTATGATCACTTAAAACAGTTTTATGACCAGGTGGTCGGTGAGGATGATGGCAACAAGTTTGCCCGCCGGCTTTCAGTAAAAAAATCCGCACGTCAGTAACCTTTAAATTCCTACCTCAGCCTGGTCCCTCAGTTTGTGTTGGTAAAATCTTCTTGAGCGGAGGTCTTCAACAGGGAATCCGCGACCCCTAGGGGGTCTACGGAGGTACTGCATGAGGGTCTGCATGGTTAGTTGATATTTTTATATTCCCCCCCTGCAATTTTTTCCCCCACTAATTGAAATGTCTTTAAATACTCATTAACATGAAATCAACACACTGTAGTAAACAGATAAATGGAGACAAAAGATGTCTTTCAGTCATCAATGCACACATTCAGCGACACACAGGAGCTCTTTCAAGCTGGGCACCGTTTCCTTCACAACAACCAGGAATCAGAATCAGAAAAACTTTAATAATCCCAGGGAGAAATTAATTTCTTTACATTACTCCATCTGTAATAGAGTGACTATAGGACACAATTTCATACAATATATATAGTTAGGGGGTCCCCGCTCCATCTCGCCATCAGTTTGGGGGTCCTTGGTCTGGAAAACATAGAAGACCCCTGTTCTTGAGGGTTTTACTATCCATGTAACTTGTTTGTTAAACCTGCCTGGTATAATTTTCCAGGATTCCAGTATTCCTTTTTAGTATGTATTGAAATGGAATTTCAAATGGAAAAAATTATTAAACCAAAAAAAAAAAAAACATTTGCACCTTAAAGACTACTTTCCTATTTTTCTTTTAATAATTACTCATAAAAAAGACCATTCAAGCAGCACATTTTTCCTGATGTTTTTGAGAATATACTGTAGGGGTGAAAGCTGCAGCTGCTACTAGTGTGAAGTGAATGGAAAGCAACAAAGCGTTAAAGCAACAATGGGGAAATGCTGTCCCCTCAATGCTAATGTAAACCCTGGTTGGATAAGGATTCAAAACTGGATATGAAGATGAAATCTGACGCACAGTTTCAGAGTTACAACTGATAAAATAATTGCTGTCTGTGGTTCTACAGTAGGCTATGGTACGACGGAGTATTAGGGCCACACATGAAGAGAAAAAATATTTTTGCCATGACGAGATTAAACTCGACATGTCAACTTTAAAGTCGACATGTCGACATTAAACTCAACATTTCGAGAATAAAGTTGAAATGTCATGTTGAGTTTAATCTCTACGTGTCGACTTTAAACTTGCCCTGTCGACTTTAAACTCGCCATTTCGAGAATAAAGTTGATATATCGTGGCGACTTCAATCTCGACATTCCAAAGTTTGGAGAAAAGAGCAACCGCGCTCCACA